TTTTCATTTTAAAAAGATCTTTCCTTTATATTGAGTTTTCATATATCTGCTCAGTGTTGTTTCTTTTTCCTTTCTTTTTCCATCACAGACAGGTATGTAAGTGATTAGTTTTTACAAATTTCAGAGGGATTTTTTTTTAAGATCATAGACCCATAGGGAATATGTAGCTTTAAAATGTATCACAGATTTACACTGAAAGATGCTCCATAAAAGAATGACACTGCAAGTTACATCAAACAAGCAAACATTTTTTATGGGGACAGTAAAATTTACTTTTCACAAAAGGAGTCTACAGTAATAATGCATTCAATTCTATTTCCCAGAATGCTTCTTAAGTATGTTAATAAAGTCTTTATTGTGTCTGCTTATAAAAGTCGCCACCATTTCCCATTAGAAAGTCTCTGTTTATTCATCAAACATTTACTGACAGTGACTGCTGGGAGCAGGCTCAGATTTCCACTCCATTACACGTTTGTGGCATAAAACACATTAATTATAGATATATTACAATATTCAACTCATTGAGGAAAAATTAGATGATCAAGGCTCATTTTCCTTGACAATAAGCAAGTTAATGAAAATACTAATTACCTGATGATGAAGTGGAGCCTTCAGGATTGAATGCTTAGCATCTGTAGAAGAGCCCTGAGAATCTAGCACAGAATATTAAAGCCAGAAGCACTGGAAGTCTAAAGGGTGGTTCATGAGGTCATCATGTGCCCTTTAATCACAGGACAGAGAGTATCTAGTTCATAAGATAAACTTTTATATGTGGCTTTGAAGGATGTCATGAAAACCACATAAGCATAGTGTTCATTTAAAACTATTTATTTTAGTGAACTGGTGGGTTTTGAATTAGTAGATACATTGTCAAGCTGAACTTTTTTAAAGGAACTGTGGAACCTAGGAATGATGAATTTCAGTATACAGTGATATGTGAATGCTGGAATGGAAAATAATAAGATGCAGCCATTTGCCTTTATTTTCTCTGGTTTGACTAAAAAGGTCTTAATCAAAGTTAATGGCATATGAAATTAAACCATTTCAAATTCAGGAAATTTCTCGCTACTTATCTTTATTGCAACCACTTCTGGTTTTGTGCTTTCTTCTTACCATTTCCCCATTAGACTGTGAATTGGAATCACTAACTGATGATGTCATCCTTTGGTTTCTTTCCAAGATCAATTTTACGTCTCATCTGCTTTTCAAATTTTACCAATATAACTGGGAATTCTTGGGGGTAGGAGGCTTCCTTCACCTCTTGGCTGTTTACTCTGTCTGTTAAAGAAAGAAGTATCATTGGTTTATTCAGTTTAGCTCATTTTTTCCTCAATTATAGTGTTTGACAACAACTGTTTAACAATTATAGATTGCTAAATAGGATTTTCCTGAGTTGGCAAATAGTAAATAAAAACAAAATATTACCAAAATATTGCTTTTTTTCTGAAGATAGTAATGTTCATATTTGATTAATAAATTGCTTTCTTAAGTTTTCTGGAAGCACCAGCATTGTATCACCTGATAAAATGGTATTATTAGCTTCTAACTTCCCTAAAACCCGGTTGTAGGTCATGGATGAAAATATCTTCAATGTGATTTATTCTAATGGCACCTGTTATGGCAGTACTTTGTTTTTCTTATGAAAACATAAAGCTTTGTAAATCTCACAACCTCCTTCCTAGGAGCAGGATACCAGGGTGATCACAGAGTCACAGAAAGGCCTGGATTGGAAGAACCTGAAAGATCATCTAGTTCCAACTCTACCACCATGTGCAGGGACACATCTCACTGGATCAAGTTACCCAGAACCCCATCCAACCTGGCCTTGAACACTTCTAGGGACAAGACACCTACAGGTTCTCTGAGCAACCCATTCCTGTGCCTCATCACCCTCACAACAAAGAATTTCTTTCAAATATCCAATTTAACTTACCCACTTTTAGTTTGAATCAATTTCCTCTTGTCCTGTCACTACATGCTCCTACAAAAAAGTCCCTCTCCATCTTTCCTGCTGCTTCCCTTCAGGTACTGGAAGGCCACAATTAGGTCTCCCTGAAACCTTTTTCAGGCTGAAAAAACCAAATTTGTTTCAGCCCTATAATTAACTTGATGGCTGAATTGGTAAAGGGCTCTCCACTGTAGAGAAAGGCTTTGTGGAAATACCATGCAGATCTTGAGTTCACTTTTGCTCTTTATGCACCTTAATTGTAGGAATGAAAAATACAGTTTTTGTCCTTGATGTAGGCCATTACTCCTGCTTTATAAATAGATGTTGTCTGTAGTACCATTAAAGTTAAAGCCATCCAATATCTCTTATCTCTTCCCATTTAACAGGAAAATCTCTATGTACCAATGGTTCAACATCTTTCCAAAGCATTTCAAACAGTCAGCTCTGAAATAATTTTGAATACATTTCTTTAAAAAATTTCCATCCCTCCTGCTCCATAAAACAATTTTTTGAATGACTTCTTGAGAATTCACTAGCAATAGACTTTACTGAAATTATTAGAATGAGATTTTAACTTGGTAAAACACAACAAGACAAATCTATTAACTGGTATCAAAGGCCTGAGTAGATACTTCCATGAAAGGGAAGGTGGTGGAGAGTGCCAGTGTAAGAACTTAGACTGAAAAGATTACAACTGTACTTCTTACAACAACAATGTCCCAGAGGTATACAAGTTTCTTTTACATCTTTTTTTTTTTTTTTGACAGTTCATGGTTTTGAAGTTCTGCAGGTCTATAAGGAATGTTTACAATGTCTGCTTTACTTCAGAAAAAACATCCTCCAAATTTGCCTCTGACAGTTGTGAGGAGGGACTGCTCAGGAGAAAAGCAAGGATGCACTTCCATGAGCTTCCACACTCAGCTTTCAGAAGTGTACAGGGTGAATGCTGTTCATCATCTGACACCTCTCCACAGAGTTTATAATTTGTTTCCTAAAATTTATACATGCAATGAGAACAGAAAATAAGTCTAACCTATTTTTGCAGTCTAAAATTTATGAGCCATACACTATTCCAAAAGTTTAATAGCAAACTTTAGGGAAGGTGAAATCACAAATAAAGTACAAGATTAGCACTGCAGCTATAACTTATAGCAATCTTGCTGTTTATACAGTCCACAGGAAGAAAGATGTGCCTAAAAGCCTGCATATGTACAACAGGCCACAAGTCAGGTCACTAGATGAGAAATGCCATGGAGCAGGAGGTAACCTTGTCTTTTACCTTAAGTACACATTTTCAGACATGTTCAAACACATCTGTTTGGCATTCATAATCCTGAAGCCAGCTCTGAAAATAGATTCTCAGAATTTTTACCCTGAAGAAAACAGGAGAAATGTTGACTCTTTTATAGTGTAGAAGGTAATCCTAATTTGGGAAACAGGATATGAGAATTTCAGACCTTTTCTATGGGCTTTAACTCCATAATCAATTTAATTTTTTCATAGCGTGGCATGGAACTATCTGTTGCATACTTTGGATAGGGCTTGAGGTGCCTGCAGTTTCAAAGTCAGTTGCACTAGTGTTGTAGGACAGAGGGAACCAAACCTGCATTTAGCCTTATCCATATTGCCAAATAAAGCTAACTAGACCTAAACTGACCTTGGGGGTTTGTTTCAACAAGGTCTAAGTGGTCACTCTGACAGAGATGCCTGAATCAAAGTGAGATGACACTCAGTTATTTGAGAGCATGAAAAGTACTTTAAAACTATTGAGATGACTCCTGCCATGTCTTCCTTCTGCTTTGACCTGTTCTCACTTTGTTTTCACATCCTTCCACCACAGATTAAAGAGCAGCTCTTCAACAGAAAGTTTAACAACAGGACAAACTGGAATTGCAAGTAGCCAAGCATCCAGTCCTTTAGCCCTTTTACTCAGGACCATGCTTACATACACTATTGCTCTTCTACATTCTTTCACATCTATTTCCTTTCTCCAATGCTTGCAACACCTTGTAAATACTGTTGTAGCTTTAATCATGTCTTATTGTTTCACAGAGGAACACACTTCCTGAGAAGATGTAGTGAGAAATAAACCTTTTTGTGCGAACTATCAAACAGCAATACAGAGATACAGAGAATGAAGATATATTTTACACATGTACATGCACTAGATTTGTGATGCAAGAAGCCTTCCTACCAGTCCAATAATCTAAATCTTAAGTCTGGTGTTCCCAAGGATAATAGTGCCTCAGTAGTCATAGGGACAATATCCAGAGTGTCATCTCTTTACAAAGATTCATCCTTACTGGATGGATCTACTTCATCCTTCATCTGGATCTACTTAAGCAACATAAGATCACCAGCAGAACTGAATACAGAAAAAAAAAATGCATTTTTTTAAACTGTATTAAGGTGTTATCATTAGTTTCAGAGACTCTATAAAGCTGATCATATTTTACTTGGTTCTACTGTCAAAATTCTCATTTATAGCAACAAAAACTTTAGTAATTCCCTGTCACGGAGTGAATCCAGGGTGATGTGATATATTTTTCCTACATTTAGGAAGCAAAAAGTTCAATCCAAATTGAAAAACAGCATCCAAAATTTTGGGCAAAGCTGAAAACTGACAATTTTTTGGTGTGTATGTTAACTATAGTAGCACAGATTTTAAGGGGTTTGTCACAGGGATGCCATGTCATGATACATGATTACATTTTGGCAAAGCAATAAGCAAAAAAGGTAGCTTCAAGCAACATGAAGATTGAACGGGCAACCACCCATTATCAATGTATAATTCCATTTTCTGAACAGGCAGAACTCTTCTGAACTCTTTTTTAGCCATGGTTCAACATCAGCCACTATTACAGTTTGTGCTTTCAGTAAGCACTGGGTTAGTGCAAAACTCAGCCTTTGCAATGTGAGTGTGAAACCCAGTCCACCTTCCCAATCCATATTTAATCGCACATTTCTCACTTTCTTTCAATCTCAGTTGACAGTTTTGAGACATGCCAGCAAAGAGATTTAGTTAAGTGCCCTGGGCCATGCTCAGCCTTACCTGTGGTAGCTCTCCATGGCTCCTGTTCAACCAGTGGTCACAGGGTTTCTTGCCAAACCTCAGCAAGGAGGAAATGCCACACCAAATCGTCACCACCGCATTCAGGACCTCAGAAATACTCTCTGATCTGAAAAATGTGGGTAGAGACATACAATTTAAATTAAGACTCCCATGCTGAATATACACATTTGCTCCTATTTGAAGCAACACAGATTCTTCCTTCTACTCTCAACTGGTAGCTCCAGGAAGGAATAAGTTTTATAGGGGGGGTCCCGTATAATATCTGGTAATCCTATGGATTTTCCTGCATATCTTATAATATTTCTGAAAGCACTAAAGGCTTTTGTTTTAAAAACATTCCTAAATTTCTGACTGGTGTGTAAAATTAGATAAGAATACCAGACATATTTTATGGTCCCTCCACAGCATATTGTGCATCTTTATCCAGAATTTAAGCCGTATTTAGGTGTTTACATGGGAGGATGGGATACCAGAATAATTTTTTCTAAACTGCTAAGCAGTTTATGTACCTATTTTCCATTGAGATCAAGAGAACTTGGGCACCTAACACATTAAGTAGTTTTAAATATTTTATCTGCATCTCTCAATAATTTATATTTTTGGAAATTCTACCTCTTGCAGTTAAAATGTACTGGTATTAAGAGCTTAAGCCTATTCACATTTTCCAGTAAAAGACAAACTAATAGCAGAAATCATTCAGGTTTCTCCTTTGACACAGTAGCTTTGTGTCCTTACATTCTTTACTCCATCCCCCAAAACCCTCAATGAAAACCCATTTAGTTTTATAAGATTGAACTGCCTGTATGGATTTCAATGATGAGTGGAAACAAATTCCAGTTGTGTGAGTTTTTTAAAAGACCACTCAGCCATCAATGCTGTTATTCCTGGGGTTTGTTGCATCATCCTTGGTATACCTGTCTTTCCTGTGAGCTGTAATTATTATATCATCAATTGTCCCTCTTTTAGACTTTTAGGAAAGGATTAAATTTCCTTAGAAGACATGATTACATTACTGACATTTCCTTTGTATATATTTTCATATTTCAATTTAATGTAAATAGAAATTTGCTATAAAGAAGGCAGTGGGATAATACTGAAAAGAAATTATCATCCCACGAAGCAAGGAATCAAATCCAAGTAAAAATTTCCAAATGAGTTCTAGAAATGTTCAGGGTATTAATGCTGCCCATTGTCACAGAAGTGCTGTGTTGTTTTCTCTTGATTGCTTCAAACAACAGACATGGAACACTTTTTCTGGAGCCCTTGCTGAGAAATTTACCACATTCATAGCAGAATTGCAATCAGAGAATATTCTAATGATTCCAAATCCTGACTCTTATCAATGGAAAACCAGAGATGCTACATGACATCCACTACATCATTGTCCCACATATAGTTTGTCTTGAATAAGAAGCTCAGAATAAAAAGTTACAGGATTCTCCAGTAATACTGCCACCCAAAAATGAAGCCATCCCTCTTTAGGAGATTTTTTTAAATCCTATCTCTGATTCATATAGGGTACATTTTCCTAATGCTAACATGTCAGATATTTCACAGAAAGGCATATTTTTCTTCACTAGTTTAATCTTCAACACTTTCATAGTCTGCAGAGGCTTAGTGCCTAACTCTAGATATTTGTTAATGTGATTTTTCTGACCTGAACATTTTTCTAGAATTTCATCCCTCCAGCATGGCATGTTACATTTAAGTTAAAAACACTGTGCGGATACAAAGAAGGAATTATTGTGCTGAAGTCTGAAGTTAAATTCTAACATTTAAAAAAGGCAAGTTGAAAAGAAACCCTTAATGTCCTAATTCATAAAGATGTTAATTTTGACAGCTAAAATATATCACTTGTAAAAGAATGAAAGGAAAAGAGGAAAAGAGTCTTCTTTACCTCTAAAATGCTTTCTTCTTTGTCTGTAGCAGGTGCCCCAAGACACATTATACTGCCTGCTTTAATTTATCTTTAATATCAGATGTGCCTTATTGATTGCTTCTGTGTATGTTTTCATTTTGAATAATTCAGAGGCACAATTTTTTTCCATTATGGTCAATAGCCAGAGAAAATTCTGAAAATAATCAATTGAGCCCTGCCTGACGATTACTAGTGTTGATATCCCCCGAAGTGGGGGAGTCGGAAAGGCCAAGGATAATATGACACAACAGTCAATCAGTGCAATCGGTGGAAGTATCAACACTGGCTGCATGATGAGAGCCAGATCCATGTCAAGGATCTATAAGGGCTCCTAAAAGTTCAGATGCTTGACTTCTTGTCATATGCTGCAACAGATGGACTATGTAAGATTAGATTCAAAAGAGCTTCTCTCCCTCTTTTTCAAAGTGATAGGATCATAAAACAGCTGTGTGATATGATTTGCATAATACTTAATGTCTTAATTTTAATTTTTTTGTTTGTTTGTTTTTAAGGTTTCCTAATAACAAGCACCTTCAAAGAAATGAGCAGAATGAGCGCTTTGCCAAAAAACACTCACAAAACCAGACAGAAATATTATGTTGGTTTTGACCTGATGCTGATGGATAACACCTCTAGCTAGAGATCATGTATGACCACTTTAGTAATTCCCACCACATCCATCCACATAATCAGGACACATCACATTCAATTTATAGAGGAAAAAAATGTATTTTTTTCAGTGTAGAAATCTAATGAAGTTGCCAGTAGTAGCTGACAAATAGTGGTCTTAATCAGTGCAGCTATGGACTTGAGGGATGATGCAACTTCTGACCAAGTCAGGGGAAGAGTCAGATTTAAAATAAGCATGCAGCTGTGTGCACACATAGAAGATAGATAGATAGATAGATAGATAGATAGATAGATACATACATACATACATACATACATACATGCATGCATACATACATACATAATTGTGTGCATATATATATATCTCTACTGAGGTGAGTATCTCCAGAGAGTCTCCTAAGCACAGCTACTGTCATGCAGGCCAGTGAGCAGTGGCTGTGCAGCTCACCATGTCTATTACCCAAATTCATAAAAGGGCAATATATGGAATTAAATGCTAAATAGCTTATAACTAAATAGCTTAATGACAATCCAATGTGTACAAAGTAAAGGAGTAAATTGGCAGCACTAGCTCAGTTTCCCATGGATAACTTATTTATAAACCTCTCTGTGATTTATTATTAATCTCCTTATGCAATAATCACTTATGCATATAAACATGGCTGAGCTTAAAAATTGTATTCTGATTCATGTTTCTTTACAAAGGAAATATTTTGACTATGGAACTTAAATCATCACTATTTTAAAGGTTTTGAAGACATTAAAATCAAAAATTATGGAAAATACAGTTTTTGATACTTCCAGGTTTAATTTTTTGCTTTTCATCACAATATTTTGGAATAAATTAGATGACACTCTTAACTCTCCATTAAATATATTACAGCTAATCTGATGGAAATTTATTAACTAGAAACAGATAATTAGAATTGACATCATTTATTTTTAAATCAGAGACATGGCCCATGAAAAAAATAAAACTATTTTTTAAAATTTATCACAAAAGTAAAGGTACTTCCTCATAAATATTAATATGCTTTCTATGTTACAAACATATGTGATATGCTCCAATTATTTTCTTAAAAGTAGGTCACTATGCATTTTACTCCCGTTTTCCGTATTCCCATGACCACAAAACACGTTATGATTCTTGTTCCACAGTCATGGAAAACACAACCATAAAAGAAGCTGATGTCTAGAACCAGAGCAGCAGACATCATTGCGATGGAGCTTTTATATGGTAAAAGATTCACTCCATTGCAGCAGTACATGAAGAAATAACCATATGCTGCAATTGATTAACTCAGGAATGAAGCTGAGGTACTTAATCAGTTGCAAAAGCCACTTATTAGGAGTCCATTATAAAGCAACAGGATTTTTTAGTATTATTCTATGAGGTAAAATATGAAACAGAAGGAAATAAAAAAGATATTGTTAATCTTCTCTGTAAGAAAAAAGCTAAGTACCTTTTATCATCCTTGAGAGGGAAGATAATGTAGTTCAGAAACTGTAGTGTATAAAAGTAACTAAAACCAGAACAGACCCTGGTTTTAGTGCCTGCTTTGGCATATCACAGTTTGTATTCAGACTTCCATCCAGGCTGCCATGCAAATTTCAAGGGAGAAGCTCCTGCCCACAGCCCCAAACCAGGCCCATTGAGAGGGAAAAACAGGTCAGCAGGGGCTGAGTCCACAGCCACGGCTGACAGGGATAACCAGAATCAGTCCTCAGGTCTGAGCCTGGGCCTTCTTGGGTTGGTAAGGATAAGCCAAGCCAGTGAGAATCAAAACCTGCCTTGGGCAGACCTAGAAACTGGAAAGCAAAGAAAATAAATTCAAAGAGGTTGAACATTAAATATTTTCAAGATATATTTCTTGTCAGGACAAAATATATGTTCTCAGACTCTAAGGCCATGATTTTCTTGTTAAAAGTTAGACATTTTGTTTAGCCTCTCTCCACATTGAGTGAAGGACAGCAGGTACTTGCAGAGAGGAATTCATCTCATGCATCTAGATATCTTAGAATGGCATGAATTGTCTTCTGATAGCAAGAACTTGTCTATTGGTCTCTTGTTATAACATCATCTCTGTGTGCTTTTTTTTTGTTATCCATATAAGTAGGCACATGCCCAAGACCTGTATAGTTCTCATTTCTTCTATTCTACTGAAATCTTTTATTGCACTCAACAACATTTATCTCCCTGCCTGAAATAATGTGGCTGGATGAGAGAGTACTTCAAGCCTCTCTGGAAGACCACCAAGTGCATTCCTTTCAAATGTGCTGCTCCTCCCTTTTCTCTCTTCAGGATTCATGTTCAGCTGCTGGTTTAGATCTGCAGCAGATCCTAAATTGCCTCCTCCTACCCCACAAAGGTGTTAGAATAGTGGTAAGTCATGCTGTCATGGCAGGTATTGCCTATGTGACAGCTCAGCCCTTGTGAAGCAAAGGCAGAAGTAAAGCAAACAAATATAAGATTTTCTGAACCACAAGTTGTGGAAACCATTGGAGCACTGGTGTGTAGCTGTCACTGCTTTCATGCCCACGAGGAATACACCAAGAGA